AAATGGCAAAGTTACCGGGAATTGATTACCAATAAAAGTGGTAATTCCTACCTGAAAAATACAATAAAAATGCCGGTTTTTAGGTATGTTTACCAGTCTGTCTTGGTAAAATTACCAATAACTGGTAAAAAAAGTGAGATGGTAAAGGTACCAACGGACCTTGGTAAAAACACCGAGAATTTTTTTTCAGTGAAGAATTGAGAACTCTCAATCTGACCTAGAAACAAAATTATATGTAACTACCATAATGTGAATGAAAATCCTTCGAAATAAGTGATTCCTGAGAAAAGCAAAAAAGAACCTCGGATCCTCCATCCAGAAGTTGGTACAATGAAAACGCTTTGCGGTGATCGACGGTCTTGATGCAAAATGCGAAATTATTTCCAACTCCCAAATGGTTTTTGGTCTGTATTTGCAAAAATATTTGGAGAAAGGCATTCTTTTTTGGCACCAAAATCAACCAGGCACATAAAGGAAGCTACCATTCTCTTCCCGGAAATTTGCATCAATAACGTCATTGAGACAGCCAATACTATCACTATCTTAATGCATAGGAGTGATTTTAAAATAAATAACGCAACTGATGCTTATCAATGAAACGGTAGGCGTTAGTATTCGTTTAATTTGAAAAAAAGATACTTAAAATGTCTTTCTTTTTATTAAATTTTGCATTAAGTAACGACGGAGGACTTTGAATGAAAAGAACAACACATATTTTTGACGATTTATCTTTACAAATATATACAACATACGAGGAAATAAATATGGCATTATAAATTTTTTCCAGTTTTACTAAAAACGTTACTAAAATGAAAATATTAGTGCACACTTTCTGGGGACAAATAGAAATGAATGGGTCCATGCTTAGCTTGCATTTTTACAAGTAAAGGAAAATTGGAATAACTATATGTGACCCACTTTAACAAGCTTCATTGAATTTAAAATTTACTGATTTTGGTCGTAAAGCTGCGGTTCTGCGGTAGACCTCATGCCTGGTTCATCAAACTAAATACATTTTCGAATACTCATTATCAAGAAAACCCTCCAGCATTCCATTCTATTCTATTACTTCGGTTTTTTTTTTTATTTACTAATTATCATACATGTCGCTATAAACTCTATCCGATTGCTGGAGAGACACCCTTCAACTTACACTTTCATAAAACCTATAAGTGAATGGCGTGGCGTACTTTGCAATATATAGACTGATCGGCCATTTAAACTCATGGAAATGGATTGACAAACAGGATGTTCGCAACGAACACCTTAATAATCGAATTTTTACCGCAGCTTCAAATTAGGGAATATCGATAATCGATTTTTCACGCCTCGCCACTGCTATAGGCATCAAAATTAGAGATCGTGTTTGATCCTTCACATCATCGCTTTAAAAAATAAATGCACCCAGGCGCCATTTTTTTCAGAACATAGGAAAGAAAATGAACAATCCTCTAAGGAAAGCGTTTACATGAGGGGTGGGAGTAAAGCTTACTATAAACATTCCATGATATAAATAATACAGTAGCCTGATGTTCGGTTATTTTTTTCAGTCCTCCGGTTCCAATCCAAGGAATAAAAATCTGCATCAAATGACGTAATTCATTCAGCCGTTAGTTCTGACGGACCAGCTCTCTTTTTTAGGAGTGATTTTCTTTGCCGAGTCGTCTTCGTCATCATCCGACATCGTGTGTGTGTCATCTTTCAACTGAAAAAAAAGATAGTATCCGTGAAACACATATGTTGCAAAAGCGGATCTAGTAATTCTTCTGTATTAGAAATGCTATTTTCCTCAATTAAAACCCAAGTTGAAAAATCGATCCTTGGCACCTTCGAGAATCGATTCGTTGCAAAAGGTTTAAATGAAGGAAAAACAATGTTGTTAACTTGCTGGATCCGTCACAATGGGGATTAGTTAAAAGGGTTGAAAAAAGTGGCCACCTCTGAACATGGCCGGATTCACCTACTTGCCGCCCATGGGCCGCCTGCACGTATATTGCCGCCCTCTTATTCTCATTCGTTTTGAAACTTGATAAAAACCATCAAATGAACGTGTCAGCGGGGGAGGGGTGCATAAGACGCATTTACTCGTGTTGAACACATTTTTTGAGAGAGCCCTGTCAACACTACTAGCAAAAATTCACGGAACTTTGCGCGAAAGTTAAGTTCCGTAGACCTATTTCTGTGTGGACAAGGCCTTCCATTCATAAGAAATGAACGAAAAAATTATGAAAGAACAAACGTAAATGTGGATCAATGATTTTAACTTCCGCCACCGCGCCGCCGCGCCGCCGCGCAGACCACACCGTGTTTGGCGCAATGCGTGGAGTATTCACTCAGTCTTGTAGGCGCTATGCGTTTCATGCCGACCGCAATGACCGCGCTGTGTTTGGTGCAATGCGTGAAGTATTCGTGCAGTCTTGTAGGCGCTAATATGTGTTACATGCCGATCGCCGCGCCGAGGGCTTCTCCTTTTCATCTCAAGTGTTCGTTATCATTTCTCTCTAAGTCGCGCCGTTCCAGGCCAAATTCCGTGTTTGGAATCTCTCTCAACTCGACTTATTGAAGGTGCTGTTTCTTCCATTACTAAGAGACGACAAAATTAGAAATTACTATAATCTCAGGAAAAGAGAGATTTTGTCGCCTTTTCTCGTTTGTAATTTTGTTTTTATAAATCCGATTTTTTTTATACCTACACTTTAAAAAATTGCAAATTTTTGCCGCCCCTTAGATTTGCCGCCATGGGCCGCGGCCCATGTGGCCGCCCCGTTAATCCGGCCCTGCCTCTGAAGTTTCGTTCAACACTATAAGCAACGTCTTAAAATATCATTTTAATGACTTCATCGAAGATGGATTAATTATGCATATTGCAGGTTCGTATTCTAGGTTGAAGTGGAAATCGTGCATTTGTTTTCAGATCTTTGACATCATATCTTATTTTGGTAACATCATTGACAATTTAGTTAGTTTGGTTACTTAATTTACGACGATCAGCAACCAGGCTATTTACGTTGGGGACCAGGAAACCTTAAATTCTTAAATTAAATTGTTTAAAGAGTTTTTAAACTTAGGTGACCACTATTGTAGCTCACAAATACAATGCAAGGTGTATATACATTTTAAGTAACATTTTGACGGTGTATGTCCGCAACCTCGTATCCCGGTTTGCGACGTTGCAGATTTCCCTGTCCTACTTTATCTTTTAAATGGAAGACTACTCAACGACTTTTTTTTTTTAAAACTACTGGAATTTATGTTCTGTGTGCAAAGAAACTTCTGCGAAACTTCACGGAATAATGTCGATTTGTTCTCCTTAAAAAAAATTAAATAGGAGCGGAGAGTTTCAAACACCGCAAACTAGATACATGGGTTGCGACCTTACGCCGTCAATTTGTGTGATATGGAGATAAACTGGTTTAAATCTTGACAAATTTCGAGCCACTTTATGATCTTAAATGAAAAAGTTTAAAGTAGTGTGGTAAATTTAAAAATTGGCTTCTAATTATTTCAATTTTTAAATCTGATTTTGAGCGATACTTCGAGGCTGGCTCAAATAAAAAACCACCGATAGTTCAATTTTTCGCTAAAGTCCTTTGACATTTTCCATCAGAGGCATCTTCAAATTCCCGATTTCATTTTGTGGAAGGATTGAGTTTTCTAATACATGAGAGCCTCCACATTTTACAACATAATAAAAGTGTGCGGTCGTAGCTGTGGAAATACAAATTATTTTATTGCGCTACTTCAACAAGTTGGGCCAATAAACAAAACAGACGAGAAATTGCATGCTTGTGAATGAAGAAGTACAAGGCCACTTGGCGGCTCTGCACTTAATTTTGAACTTACTTTTCCTGCAAAAAATGCTGTATAATTGATTTTCATGATGATGTAGGTCCAATAAAGATGCAGGGTGCTCATGCCTCCCAGTATAATCAAAATGATGTGGCACATATTAAACCTGAAGGAGCTGCAAAACGTGAACCAACACATCAGCTCATGAATCATAGGTATGAAACCATCAGCACGAGAGAAGAAGTAAGAGTATAAAGAAACTGATTCTCACGCGGGCTATAAAGATAGTTCGTTCAACTTATCAGCTCATGAATCATAAGTATGAAACCGTCAGCACGAGAGAAGAAAAATAAGAATAAAGAAACTGATTCTCACGCGGGCTATAAAGATAGTTCGTAAATATGTTTATGAAATAATTTTCGGAAGATGGGTAAAAGTCTGGGAGGGTGCTGTCATTTTTGCGTCTCACTTCAGAATGGACACTTTTTTGAAAATTGACAGAGCATTTCTTCCTGATCTTGAAACCCGCGGTGTCGCTCTAATCGGTGCCAGGGCGTTCTACCGCGGTGAAGTTCTAAAGTTAGTGATAATAACGAAAACAATCTCTCATTTTAAATGAGGCAGACAAATTTCTTCAAATACAATAATACCTCCTCATCGCAACAAACGTTGTCTTACCGTATATCTACAGAAAATACTCAGCAATTCCGGTTGCAGTAGCTGATCACCGGAAACACTTACTGATTGTGTGCTAAAGTTGCAGCGTCAACTGAATACACACCGGAAATATGCAACATTACCAGTTGCATTAGCTGATCGCCGGTACGTTCTCTGATTGCGCTATGTTACCTCTCATAATCAGTTAATCCGAAAGTATTTTGAATTCGAGGATTGTGATACGACTTCATTTCAGTAAAAAAAGTATTGTCCTACTAAACGATCCCATACTCAACTGCCGGATAATTTGGGACTCAAGATGCATATT